AAAATCACAGTAGAGATAGAAAGATGTTATAAGCATTTAAAGGGATCCCAAAGATTGGGAAGAATCAAGAAAGGATTTGAGTAGCAGGTTTGGGAGGGAAAGAGGGGGAAAGGAGACAGCAGCTGAGGTGGTATGGTGTGAGGATACAGGGAGGGGACAGTCATGAATCTAGTTATTCTCGTCCTCAGGTCTGACAGTGTGGTGTCTAGTGAAACGTGGTCCAGTAGACCAAACACCTTTGTGCTCAGGCACACACTCATTCTAATTCTCACTAATTGGATAACTGTGGGCAATTCTCTAAGTCTCTTGGAGCCTCAGTTCTTTCATCTGTAAAAGGCAGGCAATAATATGTATCTGAGAGTTATTTTTACGCTAAAATGAAATGACAGAAGTACATGCACCGGTGAATGCTGATTTCCCTTGTCCTCCTCTGTTTGACCAGAAAATAGATTTCTTGGCATGAAACAATCAGGGTATTTTCTTTTTATTCTCCTTTCCCTTTTTAGCCTTGACTTTTTACAAAGAGATGTGGTGATGGGATTTCAGAGTTGAAAGGAATCTTAAACAAAAATAACAATGTATTGTAGTGGAGGAAGCTTCGAGATCAACTAGAGAAGCCCCTTCACATTCAGGCCCCAAAGCAGAAAGACCCTCCACTGACAAGGCAGGGTGATGCCAGAATCAGAGCGGCAGGACCTGCACAAGGTCGGGTCCCTCCTAGCTCTGAAATGACAGGCAGAGAGGCGTCCCAGCATCAGTGCTTGCTTTGTGCTACGTGACAAGGTCCTGCTATTCAACCTCGCTGAGCCTCAGTTGCCTCAAAAAAAAAAAAACAAAAAAAAAAAACAGGATGACTGCAAGGACTGAATGAGATGCTCTAAGCACTCAGTAGGAGCCACAATGGAGATCAGCAAAAGGGTCACTATTAAATTTTGATTTTTACAACTGAACAAAACCCATAAATCGAAAGAACCGATGGCAGAAGAAAGAATTCCTGTTTCTGAAATGCCTCCTGTGAGTAAGGGGCTGAGAAGGAGACAGGAGCTTCTAGGTAGGTGCCAGTGTCCCTGTTTCCCAGTCAAGGAGACTGAGGCCCATGTCCGGGTGACACCCTGCCTCAGGTACCGCCAGACGCTGAGACTCCACACCGGCACAGCTGTGAGAGCTAGTCGGAACACAGTCAGGCCACAAGGTCCCCTACCAACCCCGGCAGGGTAAACCATGCCTTCTCACTTTCAAAGAAGGAGAGAAAAAAAGGAAATGAGTAGCTAACCTGACTTAATCCCCCAAAATATCAGATACCAAATGTTCTGTAGCCTTCCTGTTCTTTGGGGTTTTTATTTCTCCCACAGAACAATTTCCAAAATGGGCAAAGATCACGGTAGGTGGCTCTCTTTCATATTTCACGGGCAAGGTGCAAGTGCCTCACCAGATCCTACATCTGCGTCACCAGCAAAAGCCTGACAAAGTTGAGCAACAAATGAAACTGCGTGTATGTTGGAGGTAATCTTTTTTTTTTCCTACCTCTCCCTCTGATTTTCTCCAGCTACATTCTGCTTTTCTAACTGCGCCAGGTAAGGTGATGCTGACTGCCTACTTTTTGGCAAAAGAAAACACATGCTTTCAAGTGCCAAAAGCAAGGAGCAAAACGTTTCTCCCCAAACTGTATCTGCCAGCCTGTCTGCTTGCTGCGAAGCAGAGAAATCTGATGGCTTGTGGGGAGCCTCAACAGATAAATGGCCCCATTGCCTGGGCTGGAAACAGATCTGTTCATTTTCCTACATAAGCCTGCAGCCACCAGTTTCCACAGAGAGGACTGAAACTCCAGACCAGTGATCAGCCTTGCCAGTGAGCAGTGGTCTTTTCTGCAAATGCTGTATCTGCATACTGCTCTCGATATTCCATCCTTTATGCTCGGAATTGGTAAAAGAAGAGAAAAATACTGTGGTCACTCATGACATTTATTCCTCAATCATCTTAATACCCTGAGTATTAGCATGAGGATGGCAGAGGGAAGGAACCAGTCAGAACAGGAAGAAAAATATGACATAATTCTGAACTTTATGTCTTCATCATACGCCTCCTCCTAGGAATTGAAGGTGCATTACCTCAAACGCAGGAGAGTGGGAAGGCTGCCCTGGGAGATCATTGCTTTGAAACTCCCTTCCCTGAGGGCTGGCCCCACTGAACTCTACAGAGCATAGTTTGCTACCAAAGAAATACCCTCTTTGGGACAGAAAGGATGCCCTGTAATCACCAAACAGATAAAATCAGCCTAACAACTGAAGTACATTGTTAAAGATCTCATTGGAGAGATGACCGGGTGTGACGGGAAAAGCCCTTAACTAGAAGTCAAAATGTGTGAACCGTATTCCCAAGGGTGAAACTTACTAACCACATGACCCTTGGCACCCTCTCATTTCTCTGACTCTCATTCAATTTTCTTCTCAATAAACTGAGATCAGCTAAGGAAGAGCTATCGACCTACTCACTACATGCATTTTACATTATTCCACTTAATTTAATCCTCACATGAATCCTCAGGGTAAGTATCTTTTTCACTTTAGAATTGGATCAAACAGAAACTCTAAGTGGTGAAATAAATTGCTTAGTATTACCCGTCTACATAGGAAACAGAGCTGGAATTTGAATTTGACCACAAAACAACTTTTTTCCATACTTCATCATATCATTATATTATCCTTCCACTATTAATATGCCCACCATGTCCTTCTTTCAAGGCTATTGCAGGTAACAAGGAAAATAATATATATTAAATACACTGTGGACATTTTAAAGTTCTCTCTCACTCTTTCTCTCTCTCTATATGTAATATATAATCTCAATAAGGAAGAAAGGTATAACTGAATAGCCTTTCCTTAAAGAATCAGAACTAAAAGGAATTAGCTTTCATTTTCCCATTCTCTTGTTCCGACCTTATTTTGAACAATTTCCTTTTCCCCACAGTCTCTCAGGCATGCGTTCAGATGTATCCTGGCCAGCTCATCACAATGCATGCACACGGAACAGGCTGACGGAAGCAAATGATCCCATCCTCTGCAAATGCCTGGTGCAGGAGGGACCTAAGAGGGTACCACCAAACACCTCTCTTTCCTCAAGATGTATCACACCTCCGTCCTGCATACATCAGCATCACAGGCATATGGGATGGACTGCGAAGCAGGCAGCCAACTATAAACACTGGATGCTCAGTTCAGGGACTTATGGCATAGCCAGGAGATAATAATAAATAATAGTATGAAGTCAATCAGAATAAAATCAATTGTTACAAGCTGGATGGAGGAATATAAGGGACACTAGTGCATTTTAAAATACCAATAATACCAATAATAAAGGAAGACTAGTGTGGCCACATGTGAATGTTAATGTTTAAAAAAGGTAAGTTTGTATCCAGAAAGGACTGAATTTAGCAGCATCACTGTATAAAACAAAAAAATACATAGGGATCTTATTGTTTTCCTATACTAGCTGAAAAATATAAATCTGCTTGTCTAAACTGAGACAGCAGGAATAAAAGGCTTCGAACAGTCTGCAACATAGATGGAACTTCCAACTTCTCCTGCCTTACTACCTACTACCGCTCATCAAATTCAAGACCCTTTTTGCCAACAAAGGATGCCTCAGATCAAAGTTGCACAGACCTGAGGCTTCCTGAGGCTTGGCAGGGACTAGCATCACTGAGAAACATTTTATATTCCAAGTCAAGCATCTATGATCAAAGTCACATGTAGAGGGCATTCAGAAAACACTATAAAAGAGCTGTGCAAACTCCAAAGAAGGAAACACCACAACACTCAGATTAAAAAAAATAAAAAGTCACTCTATCTGAAAAATCAGCCTTCTAAGAACCCACTGTCTCCAGGGTTACTGCGTAATAATGTTTACAATTGTTGCCATCAGTGTCAAACTGGCCATGTGTCAGAACAGGCACTGTGCTAACCGTGTTATTTGAGTTACCCATTTCATCCTCCCTAGTGCCTTAAGGACTTGTGACCATTAGAATCTCCATTGTACTGCTGGGGGGAAAAAAAAACACCGAAGTATCAGAAAAAATGGATAACTTGCCCAAGTTCACATAGATAATGTGCAGAAGAGCTGGAGTCAAAGCCAGGTAAATCCTCCTCCTCAGCCGGGAGCTAACCTGAGCTCTTCGGAGCAGCGCCCTGTTTCACAATTTCACAACTAGGGGGTGGAGGCAAGGAAGGCTGGGGACTGGCTCTTAAAGGAAACGACAGAAGTTTGCTTTTATGTTTGTGATTTTTCTCTTTAACTCAGCTTCCTTGTTCTCTCCCAGGACTTAGAAGCGAGAGGAGCTATGGCTGCGGGAGGTCAGCCAGTCCTGTATGAGAAGCATCCTGTCTCCCACAGGACCGCCAGGGCTGGCGGACCTGTGGGAGATACACTGGATGCTTCTCCGGGGCTAGAAAGATCACTGTACCGCACGAGACGACTGGCGCCCACGCGTCCCTCACCTCTCCAGCGACTCCACCAAGAGTCTGATGGACACCCTCGGAGGGGCATCTTTCTGAGAAAACAGGTCAGGGGAAGAGAGAGAGAAGCTGCAAGCAGTCTGTACCCAGGCTGCCACAGGTCCAGGCCGGAATGGACGTGATACCCAGTGGGCACGCTGGGACACACTGCCCCCTTCTATCCTCACCGTTCACAGCAGCACTCTGGAGAAACCAAGGCGCGGGTCTAGCAGGGTAAATCCTTTAAAGAGCTGGGAGAGGGGTACAGCTACGCGTAGCCATCCCACGACCGCGTTACTTAAATGCCTACAAAGATGGGGCTCTGGACAGTGGGTTCGAGTCCTGGCCACAGCACAAACTAGCTGATGTATCCCAGCCGCTGCCTCTCTCTGTGCCTCAGTTTGCCCTTCTGGAAAACAGGGTTGAAGGAGACGATCTGTAAGAATCTTTCCACCCTGAGATTCTGTAGGTCGGTGATCCCCCGAGCCCTCATCGCCGTGAGAGACTCACCTTTCTTGGGAAGCAGCGCGGGCGCAGCGAAGGCAGTGGGGATGGGTGCCGGATCGCCCAGCACTGCTTCTTTCGGTGCGCCTGGCCAAAGCGGAGCTCCGGGGACCCCGATCCGGCCAGTCTTCCCGCAGTGAGCCTCTTACTTTCCGCCGCACTTTCTTTTTTCCCCCTTTGGGGCTCCTCCCCCGGCGCGGCGCGATTGGCCGCCGTCGCGCGGCT